ACACTATACTAGTAATGACAGTAATCAGTGACCTATAGCGTGAGTGCGATAGTGTGTCAGCAATCTAACTCTAGCTGACCCTAGCTGGGAGGCACACTAACAAACCCTGATGCTATCTAACGTCACTAGTGACACTAATATAGTGATCAGTGAAAACTACTGTACACTGACACTGTACTAATGGCACTGGCAGGGTAGCATCAAAGGGTTAAATATGTCAATCAAGGGGTTAAAATGTCTCTAATGTGTGTGGGTGCAGTGTGCTGCTTTTGCTCATGTGCTCATGTGTGATGTCTTTCTTCTCTCTCTGGAACAAAATGGTTCCAGGGAGAGAAGAACCAGTTAGATCCTGTTCCTGTATTTACAAATATAGGCACAGCTCTGCATCTCCATTCACTGTAGGAAATCGGCAGAGCCAAAATCATTGGCTGAGACCTACTGACATACACCTCCTACAAAGAATCACAACGGGGTCAGCAAGGGGGGGGGGGGCTCACGCATGTGCACTCTGAACATGGAAGAGCAAGGCAACATACGGGTACGTCTCTTTGCCTGCAGCTACCGCCTGTCCCCAGTACACTGTGGGCGGGTGGGAAACTGTTACATTTTTTTAATAAAAACCAGTGCAGCAGTCCCCCCCAATCCTTATTAGCCCCTTCGGGTATGGTATGAATTTTAAGGTGAAACCCACTCCAAAATTTAAAGAAAATCCATACTAGACCCTTTAGATCTGGTATAGATTTTAAAGGGAATCCCATGGCAGAATTTGAAAAAAAGTGGTGACAAACTATTTTTTAAAATAGCAGATAGTGGAGTATCTGTTCATTGTATGTCTTCTGCTGACAGTCCCTACTGATTAAGATTGGAGGGTTTGGAGCTATTGTTAATTAAAGAGCAGGGGTGGACTGACCATTTGGAAACTAGGGCAGTGCCCGAGGGCACGGGGTCAGTAGGGGGCCCCATGAGATGCCCCCGTACCTTTTTCATAGGCTTTTTTGAGTTTGGGCAAGGACACAGGGGCCCCATGAGTTGTCAGTCCGCCCCTGTTAAAGAGGCAGCTATTTTAAAAAATCATTTGTCACCACTTTGGGCCTTTTTTGGAGGATAATGACCATCTAATGCCTATTGATGTCACCCATATTACTTAAAGAGCACTGACTGACCACTCTTAGTAGGGGTCACAAGCCTTCTGGTAAGACTTGCATGAGTGTGGATGGTGTCACTTTGGCTGTCTCTGGAAGTTTCCTGTTTCCATCATGGCATATGGAACTGATCAAATTTTGATTCTTCACCATCGCTATATTTTCATAGACACTGTATGATCACACAATTTTCACATGATATAGGATATTTGATTGTATCATTTTTATTTGGTTAATATTTAATTAGTTGGGCGCTGCACTTTTTGTTGTACACTTTATATGGAATCCCTGGTATCAGGGTATAGTGTTTAGCTGCTAATTTTTGTAGTTTATATAATTTTTTCTAAGCCAGATTTTGGGATATGTTGCCTGCTAGCATACAACTGCATACCACTGCTGTCACTGGATACCAAGGTTGCCAACCTCCCACAATTTTTTTTACTGACAAAACCTATAGAATTTACTGACAATCAATATTTAAACAGTATAAACACAATATGTAAACACTGACTATACCCAGAAGCAATTTGCCTGATTTACACTTAAAAAGCCAGCACAGTGTGACAAAATAACAGCCCCCCTAGGATACAGTTGAAAAACAAGTTCTGCTAAGCATGACGCAGAGAGTAGTGGACATGACCAGATTGCATATCAGAGTGGCTTAAAAGAGGACAATTAAGCAATTAAATTTAAAAATGGGTAAAAATCTTTACCAAGCAATTACAGACCTGCTATTTTAACGTCTATAGTTGGGAAGATACTGGAGAGTTTAACCACTTGACATTGATGTCACACAAATATGTGGCCTCAGAGAACTGGACTTTTTTCAATGGGGCTGCATATTTGCATACCTGTCTTTGTGCTGGGAGCACGCTGCACAGCACACTCCCAATACAAAAATCGGGGTGTTACTGAGAGCCCCGGGTCCCGTTCTAACTCCCTATTCCAGGTCACAAGGTTGCTGTGGTAGCCTCTGATTGGCTGTCACAGTGATCAGTCACTGTGAAGCTCACCCTCCTCTGTTTTTTTTCTCTCTGAATGGAGAAGAGAGATACATTGTATCTCTCTCTCCTTGCAGAGAGAAAAAAAACCAAAAAAAAAGAAAGATACATAAACAAATATTAAAAAATAAAATAAAAAAATAAAGAAAAATATCTAGACCTAGGTTTGATCTAGTTGCCAGGGTTAGTGTTTGGGTCAAGGTTAGGGTCAAAGGTTAAGGTCAAAAGTCAGGATTTGTTTTTATTGCTATCAGTGTCTTTTAGTGTCAGTGTGTTTTAGGTAAAAAAACTAAAAAAAAATGCGCACTATTGTTTCTGGCCTGTAGTACAGGTACAAACAACAAAAACAACATACACATATATGGTATCACTGCGATAATCAAGAGCTGGAAAATGTATTTTGGGTTGTTCTTTGGTGGTAGGTTATGCCAGTAACAAGTAACACAGCTAAATAAAAAAAAAATTTTTTTTTTTACTATTTTGGGACAGTTTTCCTTTGATAATAATAAACAAATCAGATGATACCGATTACCATTTACCACCAAATGAAAGCCCAATTTGTCCTGAAAAAAAACAAGGTATAATTCACCTGGCTGTACAAAGTAGTTGTGATGATATATACGGTTTCACTAATATGTCAAAGTTGTAAAATTTTACTTAGGCTTTAATATTTGTTTTACCCTTAGGCGGGAAGGGGTTAATAAAAGGCCACATAGATGAGTTCTTGCTGGAAAGAAATATTTTAAGCAATCGATTCATAAAAGACAGAAGTTATCAAACAAATCTGATTTCTTTTTAGGAGGAGGTGGTGAGGAAAACCTTGGACAGAGGGGTGGCGGTGGACAAGGTATACTTGGATTTAGCAAAAGCGCTTGACACAGTTCCCCACACACAGCTAATGTGTAAGGTAAAGTCTACGGCTTGGAAAAATCCATATGTAAATGGATAGAAAATTGGCCCAATGATTGTATTCAGAGAGTAGTGGTTAATGATTCATACTCTGAATGGTCTAGGGATGTTAGTGGTGTACCCCAAGGTTCAGTATTGGGACCCTTACTTTTTAATATATTTATAAACAATATAGGGTTTGGGATTAAAAATCCCATTTCAGTCTTTGCAGATGACACGAAGCTGTGCAGTGGAAAAATGTCCTTACAGGATGTCTCCAACTTACAAGCCGCCCTCAATGCACTGTTTAATTGGGCAACTATGTGGCAAATGAGGTTTAATGTTGATGAATGTAAGGTTATGCACTTGGGGGCTAAGAATATGCATGCATCATACATACTAGGGGGAGTACAACTGCAGGAATCAATGATGGAGGATCTGGGAGTTCTGGTAGATCACTAGCTTAATAATGGCATGCAATGCCAAGCTGCAGTATCTAAAGTGAGCAAAATCCTTTCTTGTATTAAAAGAGGTATAGACTCCACAGAGAGAGAGATATTAATTTTACCCCTGTACACATCATTAGTAATACCTCATCTGGGATATGCAGTTCAGATTCGGGCACCAATTCACAAAGAAACATTGGGGAACTGGAGAAAGTACAAAGAAGGGCAACCAAACTGATATGAGGCATGGAGGAGCTCAGCTATGAGGAAAGATTAGAGGAACTGAATTTATTCTCACTTGAAAAGAGGAGATTAAGGGGGGATATGATCTCCATGTATAAATACATCAGTGGTTCATATAGTGAACTTGAGATCATATCCCCCCTTAATCTCCTCTTTTGTAGAGTTATTCACCCTGAGGTCATCACAGAGGACAAGGGGGCACTCTTTACATCTGGAGGAAAAGAGATTTAATCTCCAAATACAGAAAGTTTCTTCACAGTAAGAGCTGTGAACATGTGGAATAGACTCCCTCAAGAGTTGGCTCTGGCAAGCTCAGTGGATTGCTTTAAAAAAGGCCTGGATTCTTTCCTAAATACACAGAATATAACTGGTTACTAACATTTATAGGTAAAGTTTATCTAGGGAATATCCAATTGCCTCTCGGGGGATCAGGAAGGATTTTTTGTCCCTGCAGGAGCAAATTGGATTATTTTTAGCCAGACTAACTATGTGACTATTGAAGATGACACCAAGCTATGTAACTAAAGGGTAATGCTCATGGGCACATTTAATGTTAAGGGGCACTCGGATGGGCATATTTTTATGTTAAGACGTACTCTTAACCACTAGCCTACAGGGCACTTATACCCCCTTCCTGCCCAGGCCAGTTTTCAGCTTTCAGTGCTGTCGCACTTTGAATGAAATTGCGCGGTCATGCAACACTGTACCCATATGACATTTTTATCATTTTTTTTTAGACAGATAGAGCTTTCTTTTGGTGGTATTTCATCAAATCTGGATTTTTTTTTTTTTTTTTTTTTGCTAAACAAACCAAAAACAACTGAAAATTTTGAAAAAAAAAACATGTTTTTTCTTAGTTTTTGTTATAAAATTTTGTAAATAAGCGATTTTTCTCCTTCACTGATGTGCGCTAATGAGGCTGCAGTGATGGGCACTGATAGGCTGCACTGATGGGCACTGATAGGTGGCACTGATGGAAACTGATGAGGAGGCACTAGTAGGTGGTACTGATGGGCATTGACAGGCATCACTGATGGGCACTGAAAGGCAACACTCATATATGGCACTGATAGGCGGCACTGATAGGCAGCACTGATAGGTGTCACTGATAGGCAGCACTGACTGGCACTGTTAGGTGGCACTGCCTGGCACTGTTAGGCAGCACTGATAGGCAGCACTGTCGGGGACTGATAGGCGGCACTGATGCGAACTGGTAGGCAGCACTGACTGGTACTGATAGGCGGCACTAACTGGCACTGATATGTGGCACTGATTGGCAGCACTGATAGGTGGCACTGCCTGGCATTGATAGGTGGCACTGACTGGCACTGGTATGTGGTACTGAAAGGCAGCTCAGATGGGCATTGATATGTGACATTGATGTGCACTGGTAGACACTGATATGTGGCATTGATGTGACACTGATGGACACTGGCAGGTGGCATTGATGAGCACTGACAGCTGGCATTGATGGACACTGACAAGTGGCACTGCTGGGGCTACAATGATCATCAGGGCACACTGATCGTCAGTGTCCTGATGATCAGCGCACATGTTCCCTCCGAGGAATGCCGATTACCAGCTCTCCTCTCCTCTCGAGCTGTCAGCGTGACAGCTTGTGAGGAGAGAAATGCCGATAACCGGCATTTCCCTATTTACATGCGATCAGCTGTGATTGGACACAGCTGATCACATGGCCGAGCCGACATCTTTGGCTCTTTCCATTGATCGGTGATCCGCTGTGTCCGAGGGACACAGCGCACCACCGATCGCAGCGCTGCGCGCTCCAGGAACCAGAGAGCCGCCTTGCACCCATCATTACCTTATATGGCGGGCGGGAGTCCAATTCTATGGTCAAAACAAAAGCCATGTATTGAAAGCAAAGGCATGTCTGCTTTTGCGTCTATAAGCTTGGATTAACCCTTTGTGTACCATGATACATACATCATTATCTATCAATGAGGTAGTCAGTCAAAAAGTTATGTTTTTCTGAAAAAGCACAGTTGGAAAAAAAAGGTCAGTTCTAAATGAGTAAAGGTACATTGCTCTATCAGATAAAATTTCTATATTTTACATTCAAATGTGTTTATGGTAATATCAAGGCTTTTTGTTTGTGCAGAACCTCAAGATGATACTGGGCAGTTATGTCAACTGGTACAATTGCCTCCCTCACATGAAATCTAAAATAATTATCCTGTAACACCACATCACTAAGCTCCCAATAAAATATTTATCATCCCATTCCGATTTGTATAACTCATGACAAAGCAGCACAAAAAATAAACTATCAGTCCTCATTTCTATTTAATGTAAGGTGTGGCAGATAAGAAATGCTTATTAATAAGTATTGCTGTGACGCCATCTAGCATTTTGTAGAGCACATTTGTTCCCTTTGACATCAGTGCAAAGAAATGGACTAATCTCTTCAAAAATGTCGCTCTCTTAAATTTCACACACTCCTTTTAAAATGCTAATTTCCCGGGTGGCAGCACCATATAAAAATTCATTAGCAACCTCTAACTATTGAATTTATAGAAACATCAAGTTGTCAGCTGTAAACAGATGCTCAGTGGCTTGATTATAAATAGGGACATGCGCTATTTCAATTAGAGACAATATGCTTTCAGAGATCAGGCTGGTTCATAATTTAATGGTCTTGTGTCTGGTGAAAGCATAAACCATTAATTTTTGCCATTCCATGTGTCTATATAGTGAAGGTTCTCCATAAAGCAAAGAAAATGCGCTGTTGATGTTTCCTTATTACAAAATATATTGTCTCTACACATCACATACAGTTATGTTCACTAACTAATAAAGGCAAACCTGTGGTTCTGTACACCCCAGTTCCATGGTGGCCCCATTGCTGTAGCTGTAAGAATTTCACTTTTGGTGTAAATTCCATGTGTGGAGTTTTAAAGCTGCACACCAACAAGTATTTGTATTGTATTGGCCAATGTAAGCATGCATTGTCTACCTGATGGACCAAAGTGGAAGCTCAAAATCACTGTAGTTGTTAGTGCTACTACAGTCATTGCCATAATCTTTATCGTCCTGTTCGGGGTCTATGTGAATGACTGCCTCTGTGTACACAGGGGGGTCACTTGTTTGCCACTTTCACCACTCCTAGAAAACCTTGTATTTTTTAATACAGGGCGTTCTTTGATTGGAGGAGGTGGATATTGTAATGTCACTGCCCCTAATCTCCACCACATCCAGGGGCAGAACCTATTATAACAAGGGAACAGTCTTTAAGGGGGCATAAAACTGAAGTGTGTGTATAGAAAGAATACTGTCATAGAGGCCTACTTGTGGAAAGTTTTCTCAGAGTGCACAAAGGGAACTAAACCAAATTAACAGTAAAACTTTCTTTGGTTGTGTTATACAGTATTAACAAAAAGGTTTATTTGTAGTTTGTATAACCTGTTTTGAAGATATCATTGAAAGCATTAATACTGAAAGTGTGTTTTACTCTTGGGAAGAGTTGGTACAGTCCAAAAACTTCCCGATCGATTATCTTTTTAACCCATCACAGTCTAGAAATATTTGGTGAATATTTGTATATGCAATATCAATGTTTTACAGCAGTATATCATGTCATTCTGTAGAGGCACATTATGTCATATAAAACCTATTGTTCATCCGGATACATCATTGAGAAAACTATTGGCGCTTTATAAATACTGTATAATAATAATAATAATCCCCAGCTTATTTTATAAAAGCTGGCTAGTTTCTGTTAATGTGGCCCAGAGCCCACTTGTTTTTAAGTGGCCTTGCCCCTAGAAGCCAATTAACTTGGTAACAACAGTACAGTTAACAGGAAATGGTCTTTGCAGCTCTTATATTCTAGATTTCTGAGTTGTAACAATATACGTGGGGTATTAACGTATAACGCAAGTATGCTTTACAAATATGTTTTTTATATTTCACTGGCTGAAAGCACAAGATGAATGTTTCCTCTTCTGTTTATGCATAAATTGTACCGTCGATCAACATCATACTGAAGAAGGGTTGGTAAAAGACACAAAGGGGGTTATTTACTAAACCTGGAGAGTGCAAAATCTGGTGCAACTTTGCATAGAAACCAATCAGATTCCAGGTTTTATTGTCAAAGCCTAATTGAACAAGATGAAGATAGAAGCTGATTGGCTACCATGCACAGCTGCACCAGATTGTGAGTACTCCAGTTTTAGTAAATCTCCCACATAAAGTGTGAGAGAGTAAGATACTGAATTCCAGCTAAGCTTTCCCTTTTAAAGCAATAATATTTTTAACCTGAATAATATCCAGGGAGTGAATATTAATAACAGTTACTCTTACTAAACCAGGATACTATTCTTATTTACCCTTAAAGAGACCCTATCACTGCAAGAAAAAGGGAAACAAACTGCTGCAGGTGTAAAGTGCACACACTTGGAGGTGCACCTGCCTCCAGCAGTTTCACCAAACTTTCATTGTACAGCTGAGTGCTGGGCTGTTTTGACAGGCAAAAATCCAATACTTCCAGCTCTTATCAGCTGCAGCTGAGCCACATGAGGGAGCGGCTGGATCACTGACTTTAAAGCTGGGATCTTTCCCCAGCCTGGACCGGCTGAGTGACCTTAGCCAACAGTGGGCTTCAGCCCACTGTCAGCTGAAAACAGGTCACAGGAATACAGAACAAACTGCACTCTGATCCACAGAAGAAGTACAGCCAAAAGAACTTTTTTTTATCATCATTTCAAGATCATTTTTATGATGATTAAAGATTTCATTTTAATTAATAATTCAATAAGAGAGGGCACAGGTCTCCAGATACATGTGGGCCCTCCATAGGTTGCAGGCCTAGGAGGATAGTAGAACTCAAAAATACCACAATAATGTAGCACAAACAAAATAATGAAAGAAATATTAAAAAGTACAAAATACCACAACACCACACTGGTGATGGACTACTGATCATTGGAAGTTTGAAAGTTTATTTATTTTTGTACTTTTTAATATTTTTTATTTTTTCGTTTGCTCTACATTTTTGGGGGTTTTTAAGTTCTGACCTGCAACCTATGGAGGGCCCACATGTTTCTGAAGACCTGTGCCCTGTCTTATTGAATTATTGGTCAAAATAATATCTTTAATCACCATAAAAGTGACAGGTGCACACACTTTCACACTTCTACCACATGGCAAGGACACAGCTTGGGGGTAAATATCATCCTACCTTACCTCTGGGAGTTCCTCTTAGCCTCCAGGAGAGAGGGCACCACTACATAAATATATCCCTGTGTCTAACAAAGGCTTATATCAGAATGACCTCAATAATCTGTTAAAATAGTATGCAATTTATGGATTTAATTTCTAAACTGTAAAATGTCATGCTCATTTGTGGAAAATGTAATAGCAATAGCAGAGTAAAATCAACTAACTAAAATAAATATTTCTACATGTTTCCAGATTTAATACAGAATCTATTTTCATCTTGAGCTCTACCCTTTATCAATAACTGTTGCCTGTAAAGTATATTTTCAAATGCTGCATCTGGAGCAGGTGCAACACAGATCCACCTCCCCTTTTGCAAGTTATTAGCACACAATACATTGCCAAAGTCCCCATCAATATATAATGTTGTTGTCTCAGAGGAAATTAGAAGAGTTAGTGATCCCAGTCTATATTTAATTAGTACATTTTATTTTACATGTGGCCTTTGATTGTTCATTTACTCCTCGCACAAAACAATATTGTAGCCTGTTTAACTCTTTAATAGTCTGACAAACAAAACAGAATTTACGTATAATTTATACTGTATGCCAATAATGTCTGCAATAATGGAACAGAATTTTAACCATGTCAGGTCATAAAACATTGTTGTTATTGAATAAACAATATTATAATACAGTAGTTTCAATGAGTAGATCGTAAAATGATGAAGTTAAATAACTAGCAAATTTCTTGCCTGTGCTGTCATTCTTTACATTTCAGGGATTCTCAGGGGCAGCCATGTTGGACAAGTGGCAGAGATTTTATATTCTATTCTCTTTAAAGGTTGACCAAAGAACCTAGAATTCTGTGATGGGAATAGCAGGACCTACACCACCAGCATTTTGGTTTGGTGAGTCTGTAGTTGTAAGACTAGCAGATAAGTGGATACAGCTGGGTACACATGGACCAAAAATTGTCCGAAAATGGATGGTTCAGTAGGAACCAACTGACTTTCAGCCTGTGTGTATAGCTTGCCATCCAACAGAAGCCAGTTTCATAACCGGATTCTGTCAAACAACAATTGGCATCGGATTGGCATCCGATTGGCATTCGATCAGTGCTAGCAGCTAGTGGTTGCGAGGGCTGATCAGTGTGTACTGATGGTGGGTGGTCCCCCTGTCAGAACACAACAGCTCAATAGGGAGATCGTTGCAGTAACATCAGATGTGTTAGAACGGAGATCTGTAACTTTATTTTTTGTTCAGCTCACTGGGCTAAACGAAAAAAAAACTTCTTGTGTGTATCCATCATAAAACTTTTTTCACATGTTCAGATATAGATAATTGGTGATAATAACAGGTGGAAGTGGGAAGATAAGTACAACCTTGCAGCTGGTAAACCCATGAGTCACTATATATCTACATGGTTTTTTACAGATGTTCATTTTATATAATTCATCATTGCTGCAATTGATGATTTCTGAACAGAAGAAACAGAAG